CTGGTAGAGGCTAGTTCGTCAGGAGCAAACAGTGAATGAGGACTGGATCTCCTGTGGCCAGAGCCATCTTTCCCTTCTTTCCCAGATACTCAAAGATGGCAAAGCTAATGGCTAGGATGACATGCAGTGAAGGGCATTTGTTGCTCTTTCAGAGGACCCAGGTTTGGTTCCCAGTACTCTCAGCTCATACCCATCTGTAACTCCAGTTCCAAGGGATCCAGTACCTTCTGACCTCTGTGGGAACCAGCACACATGTGACACATGCATTCATGTAGGAAAAATCTCGTACACATAATTAAATGTAATAAAATAAAAATGCTTATGGTGGCATTGATGTGTTGTTTTGTAGGGTCAGAGAGTTTTCTTTCCACAGGGGTGTAGTAATATGGGCAGCGGGGCTGCGTCCCCAGCACCCCGGCTGCCTGGCTAGCTTATGCCCGAAATAACAACACACAAACTGTATTCATTTAATCACTGCTTGGCCCATTTCTATCTAGCCTCTTCTAGGCTAATTCTCACATATTAATTTAGCCCATTTCTAATCATCTGTGTAGCGCCCCTAGGTGCGCTTACCGGGAAGATTCTAGCCTATGTCCATCCTGGGTAGGAGCTTCATCGCGTGCGTCTGCCTGGGAGCTGGGAGCATGGCGTCTCTCTGAGGTGTCTGCTCCCAAGAGGAGAGCCGTGGACTCTGAGCTCACTTCCTCTTCCTCCCAGCGTTCTGTTCTGTTTACCTCTCCCACCTATCTTCTAACCAATGAGGGCCAAGCAGTTTCTTTTTATTTAACCAGTGACCTTCCTCCATCACAGGGGGAAGCTTTTACTAGCTTTGTTACTGCTCTTAGATCTAATAATTATCATTGGGAGGGTTTAATATATTTTAACTTTTGCCTTGATCGACCGTCACCTTCATCTTTACTATTAGGCTAATTCCATGGCATACCAACTTCCAGATATATGCACATACTTAAGACTTATTTTTGTATCTAGCTGGTTGATAGTTAAAGTTTTTTTTTTCAAATATAAGACAGTATTCATGCTAATGAGACAAGTGATTGATAGCTGGTGACAAAGTGTTTCAGAATTAGAGAACCAGACTAGAGGTGTAATTTTTGGTGAGAATCACCATCCCCACCCCCAGAGATTTATTACCTCTAAAGTACTTTACATGTGTTACTTCCATGACTTCTTGTGATAATTATGTAAAACCTGTTTCTATCTTGGATCAGGGAAAACTGAAATTACTGCCAGAAAGTTGATTTTAGTCTTTTCCATGGTACTGGTATGCTTTCTGCCAAATTCACATACGTGTCTTTATTCTGGAAAAAAAGAAGCCTCTAGTTTATATACTTGTTTTCTTGTCACATTTTATCAGAAAAAGTAATATGAATGGCCTGCTTCAGTCAGGGACAATAGATGTATGTGTATCTGTGTAGCACATGGATTTTTAAGTATTTATGGGGTGTAAGAATGTAATGGTAGTTCTGAATAGTAACAGTTATTGTGTGTTTCAACCCAAAATTTCATTCCCATATAAATGAGCTCTGTGAGATTATTATGCCAAAAATACCAATATTTGTCTTTCACTCAATTTATCTACACTTCATAAAAATCTTTAAATATTACTTCATTATCTTGAAATTTGCTTTGCAGTATATGAAGTCTGTGGAATGCCTCTTAGATATTTATGAAGTAGCTCAGATTTTTGCAGGTGTTGTAGACTCTTAGGGATATAGAGCTTAATTTAAAACAGACTCCTCTTTTCTGCATTTTTCATTTTAAAAATCAGATTACAGCAAATCCATCTGTGTGATCCAGCTACACTGACATTGGTTTTTAGATATCTCTGTGGTGTTTTGGTTAGGCAGAGAAGTTCTCTTAGTTTATAGTATCCTAATAGTCATGCAAGGACAGCTACTGCAGATAATACTCTGGGTTGTTGTATTCATGTCATGCTTCTCCTGTAAAATTATTTTCCTGAAAGATACTTAAGCAAGATCAGCATGGTAGTTTATTCAAAACAAACCAATACAACAAAATGCAAACAACTAATAAAATACCCTTATAAAATAGATTTTAAGACTTTGGAGTTTAGCTATGTAGTAGAATATTGCCTTATGATGAGAAAATCAGCAATCTTCTGTCCTAGGAATGATGGGGGTTAAAAAATTTTTTTTAAGAACTCTTACCAGTCTGCACATATATGTGCACATTCCAGAATGCATGATCATGAATGCGTATGTGCACACATACACACACATACAGACACACAGGCTAAGTGTGGGTATAATGCATATGTTAATTATCTAGATTCTACCATACATGGTACAACATATATTTGTGTTAAAACATCATGCTGAATACTGTACATATGTTTTTGTCACCTTTAAAAAGATGAAGACTGTCCCCAAATGTTTGAGAGTGCAATAGGAAAACTATTTGTCAGCAATTGTCTTTAGCAAGCTGACAAAGCCTTACCTTATGCTGTATCTGGTCGAGAACCAACAAAGTATGCATAGATTTCCAAATGACACAAAGTCCTGCTATATATCTCTCAAAAAATAGCTTTGCTGCCAGGCGGTGGTGGCACATGCTTCTAACCCAGCACTTAAGAGGCAGAGGCTGGCAGATCTCTGAATTCGAGGCCAGCCTGGTCTACAAGACCTAGTTCCAGGACAGGCTCCAAAGCTACAGAGAAACCCTGTCTCAAAAAAAAAAAAAAAAACAAAAAACAAAAAACCCAAGACAAACCAAACAAAGTAAATATTATTGCCAAGGTAATCTCAAAATACAAGGAAGATTCTTTCTTGATTTTATGTCAACTTAACTGTTAAAGAAAATTAAGTCTATTCATTTGTGTAAGAGTTACTTATCTTAAAAAATAGCTAAAAGCACTTCTGTCAGATTAGCACTTGGGTACACTTGGTGGTGTGCCTGTGGCAGCATGTAAGTGGTGATATGCTGCCAGCTGGGTAGTCAGGCGGAATCACATCGTATTGTAGTGGGATCTTAGTCTCAGCTGCTTCAGGTTTCTCCTTTACCAATCTCGTGCCTGTATATTTTAGTTCAGCTGTTGAGAGTCCTACGCAATGCTATCAGACCTTGCTTTTCAAAGGGGCTGTGGACCAGCATCGGTGTTACCTATAAGATTGTCAGACTTGGTCTTGGCTAGTTCCTGGGTTGCTTGATAGGAATCTTCACTTAAACAGATTCTTTTAGTGATTTCTATGAGTATTAAAGCTGAAGAAGCCCTGCTATAGAACACAAAAGACTTGTAATTTAAATACTTTTGTTACGAAGTTAAATAATTTAGAAATGATTAGTAAGAACATTAAACACTTTCACCTTAAAAGCTCCCTTTTTGGTTTGGCTGATGATAGCCCCCATGGAATGCTATCAGGCCTTGTTTTTCCAGTGCATTTTGCTGTATTTCTGTACTTTGATTTTTAATCTTACTCAGCAAAGAAGATAAATGACGTGAAGAAGCAAAACCATTGCTGTTAAATCTACTTACTGGCAGCCTCTGGCATCACATAAAATCAGCTCCTCAGAAAAGGAGAAAGACTTGCTCAGACACTGGTGTGCACAGACTGTATAATCAGCACTGGGCTTTTATGCACACAGGGAATCCAGATATACTTAAAACATAATAGATGCCGAGTGAACTAGATGTTCTACTCAGGGAGTTGTTGACCCTGAAATTGTCCTTGAAGGTCATGATCCTGCTCAGGAGTAGAACTTTAGTGTTATGGGATGTGCCCACGTAGTTCCACTTGCTACCCTTCCTTCAAGCTACATGTATGATTAAAAACGTTAAACTTACTTCATCCCCATGAACGTTTTCTTCCAATGGCAGAACTCCTGGTCATTGTTTCGTTACCCTTTAGGGTGTTAGGACTCTGAGTAAGAAGTAGAGACATGTAACTGCTTCATGTTACCACATTCAAAGAAAAATTGTGTGATATGCTCTTCCTCTATGCTTCCAATTTAGTTTAGGGAAGAAAGCTTTTGTTTGAGTTCTGCTTCTGATATTTGAAAGCTCCCTTCAACTCCCTAGCGGAGATGGCTGCAGGTGCTCACAGACCTTTTCTGATGTCTTTGTGTCTCTTCACCTCTTAGCGCACTACGGGAACAAATGAAGCTTTGCCAATAGTCTGAGTATCAAGTCTGGGTAGCTCACTGCTCTTGTGAACCTGGGTTGTTCATGGTTCTTTCATTTATGCCGGAGCTTTGGCATACAGTTTGACAACCTTGCACTAGGCTAAGAATACTTACTATGACTGTTCTTGGCCTAACAGTGTACAATAACCTCCCCTTTTTAATATATGGTAAGGAAATTTTCTCCATGCCTCCTCTAATTCTGTTCTTATCTAGTAGTTTGTCCTTTGTCATGGATGACCAGGAAACCTTGGTGATAAGAGACAGCTGCTGTTAATACATTTTAGATGTCTTAAATGTGGGACTAGTGAGAAGGCTCAGGACACAAAGATGCCTTCCAATAACACACAGTTTTCTGTCACCAGTTGCCAAGCTTATTAATAATAGCAGAAAAGGGACTGTGTGGTAAGATTTCTCTTAAGCAAGGGATCGATGGGAAAATGATCGTGTCTTGAACTCCAAGATGGCGAATGCAATTTTCTCCCCTTTCTGAATGTATTATCCGCTCCTGAAAGTCTGTGCATAGTATACTTTAAAACATGAGTGGTAGCATTTATTGTTCCTTTAGATCATAGGTCTTTTTACCCACATTCTCAGTCACTTATTTAATTTCTGAGATTAAGGGAAAAGTAATGAAATAATAAAGAAATGGATTATAACTGTTACACTTAAGGAATAATTCAGATTTTTTCCATGTTATGATTTCACCAGGCCTGTTAAATACTGTGCTCCCCCTGTAGTTCTTGATCCCTCACACCAGGCCTGCTGTGCACTGTGCCTGATGTGTAGTCATGTCTAGGTGTCTTGTGCCAGTGGACACTCATGTCTCTTTTGTTCCACAGGAAAATGACTCAGGCACCTTGGACACAGTGGGTGCTGTAGTGGTCGATCATGAAGGGAATGTTGCTGCTGCTGTCTCCAGTGGAGGCTTGGCCTTGAAACATCCAGGGAGAGTTGGGCAGGTAAGGATCTGTGGGTTAATAATTCTGCTTTTCAAAATGAAATCTTGTCTAAGTACAACCATTCAAGTACTAGGGATGTTTTTTTCTTAGGAAAAATAAAAATCCTTGTTTTTGAACATTTAATTTTTATAGATCAAAACCAAAAATTCTTTAAGTCTTATTTTTTTAAAGAGCCATCTCATGGTGACGGGGCTCTTATTGACCTTTATGACCAATGACCGTGACCTCCCTGCTCTCAGCACCCTGGGTGGCACTGGCCTTTGTTTGTAGTAGACATTTAATAATCGTGTGTTGATTTACATCTTCCTTAGTGAATATGACTGTAGAAGCAAGCACTCCCTGACTGTATTGCCCGTTGCTTTTGAAGTAAGAACATGGTTTTAGAGTAACGCATTTTACTCCATTCAAGTCACAGTGACTTTTTGTTATTCTCTGTGTCTCCTCTGACTTTAGACATTTTACAGGGTAGCTAGGATTTTTGGTCACCCTGTATCACAGACAAGTATTTAGCAGATGAAGAAATTCTAATTTACGTGAAGCTTTCTTAGTCTGAGTTCTCTTGCAGAGCTTTTATCCAGCCTTCCTTCTCCACCTCCAGTCTTTAATTCTGTATTGAAAATGAAATCTAAGAGTAAATTTGATATACCATGGGTGGCGGGCATTATGACCTGACTTTGCACATTTCTTATGATCTTAGTAAATATTTATGAATCAAGACACTCTCCTGTAACTTTTTAAAGAGGTTATGAGGATTTTATTTAAAATTCAGTATTTAGATCTTGTTTCATATGTGAAATGAAGGTCATGGTGTTGTGTGTGCCAAATTCCTTTCCTCCAAATGCTATCAGATGCCTTCCTGAAGTAATGGAAAACTTTGGGAAATGATGAGGTTCTACAGGTACCCAGAGAAAATCACAATACTAGAAAATGCCTAAAAATATACCTTTGCATCAGTCAAAGTCTGTGGAGAACTAAGTGATGAGTTTAAGACAGTTATAGGGGTGTTGCAGGGATGCGTCCTCTCACCACTGCTCTTTAATATGTTCCTGGAATTAATAAGAGCAACAGCCCTGGTGGATGAGGAGATAGGTGTGCAGATAGGTGGCGTGTGAATCAGTAATTTGCATTTTGGCAGTGCTACAGCACTACTTGCTGAAAGTCCACGTGATCCGCAGGCCATGGTAAGTAGAGTGGTGGAAGTCAGTGGAAACCTTGGTGTGAAAGTCAACATCGAGAGACTGAGATGCAACACACAGGAAGGGTGCACAGGATTTTAATATTGTAATAAAGACTCAGAACCTCTGTTGTAGTAGGGCTGCTTGTTCCTCCTGGCCACCCCGAAATAACCACACAGAAACTGTAATTAGATTACTGCTTGGCCCATTAGCTCTAGCTTCTTATTGGCTAACTCTTACATATTAATTTAACCCATTTCTATTGATCTGTGTATTGCCACGTGGCTGTGACTTACTGGGTAAAGTTCTGGCATCTGTCTTTGGTGGGGCTACATGGTTTCTCTGACTCCGTCTTCTTTTCCCCAGCATTTAGTTTAGTTTTCCCTGCCTAGCTAAATTCTGCCTTGCTATAGGTCCAAAGCTGTTTCTTTATTCATTAACCAGTGGTATTCACAGTATACAGAGAGGACTCCCACATCAAACCTCAAGCAAACAGACAACTTTGTTTATCTGGGAAGAAACCTCAGTTCAAAGGAGGGAACTATTTCAGACATCAAGAGGCAGATAGGGATAATGAGGATTGCATTCCAGGTACTAGGGAAGGTTTGATCAGCAAGAGACATAAGGACAACAACAAAATTACAAGTACACGAGACACTTGTCTTGAGCTGCCTGCCTTCTTTACAATCCCCAAACCTGGACAATGAAACACTCCTCAGAACAGCAGCTGAATGAGTTTGAGATGGCATGTCTCAGGAGGCTTCTAGGCTTCACATGAAGAGACAGGCAGTGCTTAGAGGAAAACAGCATTGCTAACTTGTATGAAACTGCTGGGTCCAGGAGTCATCATGAACCTGGAGATCACATTAAAAAATATCTCCATCTACAGAAGGAAGTAAACTACAGGATATGGTTGTGACGCTTGAGATACTTGGACCATGTTATGAGAATGAATGTCGGCAGATATCTGAAGACAGCACTGCTTGGAGGAGTGCACGGGATAAGATGAGGAAGGCCCAGAAAATGCTGGATAGACAGCATAAAGGAATACTGTAGAACTTTGGGTATGACAATAACACACGCATCTAGGACTGCCCAGGATAGGAACAACTGGAGAACTGCCGTAAACGGGCTGCCCATGCATACTTAAACATTGCCAGGGCATAAATAATGATGGATGATGATGTGTTGTATGCCCCTAACATTTGAAGGACAGTCAATGTCTCTGTTGGTTTGGACATGGTTGTTAGTGATTGCTTGGAGCAGACTGATTTGTGGAAGGCTCCTCGTGATATTCCCCAATCAGCCCTTGATATGGACAGGTTTCTACACTATAGTCCTGTACCAGTAGGGTGTGAATGGTAATAGAAACTGTTTTTTGTGTTACTTTTTACATGTAGAAAATTTATGGCGAGTGATTACTTACTCTCTATATAGTGCTTTGCTCACATTCTAGAAGCCTTTGTTCACTCACGTTTTTCCAAATTCAGCAACTGCATATTTGTCAAGTTTGGAGTAAGAAAATCAAACTTTCTAAGTCAGGTTTGGATATCTTAGTAGAGAAGATTACTTTGTAAACCTCTGACTTTCTCGATATTTGTTTGTTTGGGGTGGTAAAATAATAGCAGCAGTCGGGGTGGTGGGTGCTGTTAACAGGGTGCTGCATCTACAAGTCTTGAAGACATTTTCCACCACAAATGGGACTTCTGTGAAATTTATACATTTGATTTGCTCTACTTGGCTTGTTTAAAAATATGCTGTTGTGAGAGCTAAAAAGTCATCAGAACATGTGGAGGAGAGGAGCCAGTGTGCTTAGAGGAAAACAGCATTGCTTACTTGTATGAAACTGCTGGGTCCAGCAGTCATCATGAACCTGGAGATAGGGAGAATCAAATGAGAGGTAAAGAAAACCGTGAAGCACAAAGCGTGTCCTTTCAAAGGTTAGGTCAAAACCCACAGAAATGAGATGCATTTAAATGTATTGTAAATGCTCAAATGAATGATTTTTGAAAACTGGCATACCCGCTATAGCTATTTAATAGGAATGCAGATATTTAATAGGAATGCAAATTGTAAAATTTAATTTGAACTAGAGTTTACTTCTTTTAGTGTGTAACCATTAAAGTTTATAGTGGGGATATGAGAAAGGAATTAATAAACTTTACTATAAAATAAATAGTTACCAAGGTCTAAAGATGAAATGCTATAGTGCTTACCAAGTTCTAGAAGACTGACACAACACATTTAAATTGCACTTCCTACGTCCTTGAACTATCACTGCCATTGGTTATATATATATATATATATATATATATATATATATATATATATATATATATATATACACTTGCAGTGCTCAACATACGCTTTCATTCACATGGTTCCTTGACAATAATAAAAGTGCTTTTATTATTCTTTGTTGTTTTGTGGTGAATTCAGGTCCTGTGCATGCAAGGCTGACTCAGCTGTACTCTTTGCGATCACTTTTTTCTTTTTTAGTTGTCTAGGCTGACCTTAAACTTGCTCTGTGTCCCAGGCTAGCCTTACACTTGTGATCCTCATGCCTACGTTGCCAAGCTGCTGGGATTATAGGTCTTCTACAACAATCGCTTGCTACATTATTATGCTCATTTTATAGAAAACAATAGTCTTGAGACAGTTAAGTAATATGTTATTTATATAAATTATTTTTATTATGTATAACACCTTTAATGTAATTTTACTTCCAACATAGGAAGCTTCTAAACGCTTTTTACAGTTTTGCATTTTACTTACAGAGGTGAATAATAGAGGCCAAATTCTTTATTATTATTGTATTTTTGTTACTATTTCATCCTGTTTTCAGAAGGTTAAGGAAAGTAAGTCAGCTCGAGGCCATGCAATTAAGAGGAGATATTATACAAGAAATTTTCTTAAAGAGAAGAAAAAAAGGGGTGAGCAATACTGTGTATCCTTTCTTAGGAAGGCACCTTCCCCTGGCTCTCTGAGAGGTGCCCATTCCCCCCACCCCAGGGTTTTGTATAAAGGAACTAGGTTGCTTTCAGAGAGTAGAACCAGCAGCACTGTAGCAAACTTGACCACACAATGAGGGACTTTGTAGCAGTTAGAAGGGCTTGCTAGGATAACATGTTCCCATAAGGCAGTAAGCTCTCATAACAGAAGCAGATGGTTGCTTCGTGGAGATTCCTGCTGGGTAGAATATTGGAGCAATTGAGTTCTAAGGATATTTAAAAAACTGGAATGTCGCAAAAAGCTGAAATTTTATCTGTGTACTCTTCTCCGCCTTAGCCTGTCAGCTGAGTGAGCCTCTAGAAGTCGCAGTCCAGTGTTGGGGGAGGGTGTCTTTATTTAGAGTGGTGAGTGCTACATGTGTTATAGATTCTAGAAACCCACAAGATATTAAAGCTTTCTGTATTCTTTTCACTTGCTTGTTTGAGACAGGGCTATGTATCCCTTGCTGGAACTTACTGTGTGGGACTGGGGTGGAACTGAGCCCTTCCTGCCTCTGCCTTTTGAGTTCTGGGCTTAAAGGCATTAGCTTCCACACCTATTTGTATTAAGTTTTTCAGAAACTTAATCCTTTCATTGTTAGCCTTTGTTATGATTTCTGTATATTGCTCCACCAAAGCTTATTTCGGTTACTGTCAGTCACCTATACCAGTTTTTCATTATTAATAGTGATGTAAAACATTTACCTTATTTGTCCTAATATTAATAAACACCCAGGAGTCAGAAATTGTGGTGAACACTTGATAAATTCAAAGAATAGTGGAGGAAAGAGCGACTGACCCGAGTCTCAACGTTTCCCAGATCCAAAAGCCCAAGAATCTCTTCCAAGTCCCTTCTTCTCTTCTCCGTGTCTCTCTGTCTTCCTCTGAGTTGGCCAGGAAACACTATGGCCCATTCCAGCCCACTGAACTCTGCCCTCTGAACCAAGGTCACTTTGGAGAGCACCAAGTCCCCCTTAAAGGTGCTATGATGATGAACTTGCTCAGTAGCGTGCCTCGTACTTCACCAGCTGCTGTGTCAGGTGCTCCAGAAACCAGAGTTCTTGCCCGTAAATTCCTCAGAAATTCACCATTTTTCTAGTTTAAGAACACTTATTTTTAAAACTTTTTTCTCTTTTATTGAAAATAGATTTTTTTCTCACATAATATATCCTGATTGTGGTTTTTCCCCCACTCCTCCCAGTGCCTTCTCACCTTTCTTCCCCTCAGGATCTACTCCCTTTCTGTCTCTCATTAGAGAACAAATAGGCTTCTAAGAGATAATAAAATAAAATAAAACAAAACAAAAACTTATACACTGAAATTGAACAAAAGAGAGGCAAGAGAGCCCAAGAGAAGGCAAAAGAAACACGTGTTCACACATCTAGGAATCATATAAAACACTAAACCGGAAGCTATTTTATAAATGCAGAGGTGCGGGCCCTGCGCATGCTGTTTTAGTCTCTGTGAGTTATGTGAGCTTCGGTCATGCTGTTTTAGAGGGCCTTGTTCTCCTGGTGTCCTCCATCCCCTCTGGCTCCTACACTGTTTTTGCCTCCTCTTCTGCAGGGTTCCCTGAGCTTCTAGGGGAGGGATGTGATGGAGCTATCCGATTTAGGACTGAGTCGACAATCCTTATTTTAAGGCACCATATTGGTTACAAGAGCCAACAGAGCGACTGGCCAGCAAACTGTGAAAGGAAAGGGTTTTAGGACTAGGAAGCATTCTGATGGCACTAAGACAACTTTCTCTTGCTGTTCTCTAAGAACTTCTACATTGTTAGAATAGTAGAGAACATTTGCTAGTATTCTGCATTTGTATGTGTGTTACGTGTGTGGGTATATGTGTAAGCATGCACGGGTGTGTCTAGACTGAAATTGATGTTGAATGTTTTCTTTGATTATTCTCCACTTTATTTACTGAGGCATGATCTCTCCCTGAACTTGGAGCTTCCTTATTCTGACTGGTCCAGCTTGCCCCAGGGATCCTATTTTTCTGCCTTTAATTCTGGTATTACAGGTGACTGCCATTCCTGGCTGACTTTCTGTGTAGGTTTGGGGATCCATATTCTGGTCCTTCTGGTTATGTGGCAACTGCTTTATGCGTTGAATCACGTCTCAGGCCCTACTGATCTTTTTGAATGACATATAATATCTACACATTTTTTAGACAAAATATTGATTTATGTATATGCTGATTTATTAATGTTACTAGCTACTGGGGAAAGCATAATGAAGGGGACAGGGAAAAGCTAGTCAAAGATATAGTTAGGTAGGAAGAGTAAGTTCTGGTGTCCTTGTCATAGTAGAGTGAGAGTATGGGGAGCAGTAATGCATTGCATATCTAGAAATAGATACAGCCTTGAGAGTTTGAAAACCATTGTTTGCATAGCTCTTATGTAAACTCTTATAAATTTATGCTAGGGAGGGGGAGAGGAGTGGGGGGAGGGGGAGAAGGGTGGGAGGAGGGGGAGGGAAATGGGAGGCTGGGAGGAGGTGGACACTTGATTTTTGTTTATGTTTTTTTCTTCTTTTCTCAATAAAAAAAATTTATGCTGTTATGAACTATTTTTTAGTCTTTTATTTGTGTGTGCATTTGTGTGCACAAGAAAACAATTCCTGGTGTGGTTCTTCAGTCATCCCCCTTGTTTTCAGTCTACCCTGTTTTGTTGCGGTGGGGAGTCTCTTATTTTCATTTTTAATTAGCATAAAGAGTAATAGATTTCATTATGACACTTCATACTTAATTTGCTTTGTTGTCTATTTTGTTTATTTTTAATAAACTGAGTTTTATTTGATGGATATTACTTTCATATTGAAAACTGAAAATTATGTATCATATTCAGTAAGTATTGTATGAGTCTATTTTCTGTCTTCCTAGGCTGCTCTTTATGGATGTGGCTGCTGGGCTGAAAATACTGGAGCTCATAACCCCTACTCCACAGCTGTGAGTACCTCAGGTATTTGCTGCTTTTATGGCCATTTTTCATAGCTACAATCCTGTCAGTCATTTAATAATTAAAATCAGTGTTTGGGGGAAACATTTATAAGAGTGTTGATGCATAAAAACATCATTAATATTTGGGAGGTTTTAAAGATTATTTAGTTTTCTATTATAAGTGCTCTGCAAATCTTAACTGTAAAACTCTGATATTGGCTATAATTTAATTCTATTTTATTATCTAGTGACCCATGATAGTTACAGTCACATCTCAAGTGATGTCAAAACAGTGAGGCATTTCAAAAATAATCATGTAGTTTCTTGAGTAAAATGTTGACGTGAAACTCACAGAATGTGCTTCAGAATGTATAGCCTACAATATTTCCTCAAACTATCATTTTAATAAAATACAGAACCTTTTTTGTGTGTATAATAAGAAAGTGTATGATTTAGTAATGATTGAAATAGAACGAGCATGTGTGATGTGGTTTGTGTGAGAGCATGCGCTCGAGCATGCACATGTATGTATGTGTGTATGTGTCCCTGTGCTGGAGGGATGGGAAATACGGGTGGGGGAAATTTAACAGGTGGAGCAACAATCTGTTTCTAGAGTTTTATAATACTGATACCACATATACTTGAAGCCTGTTTTTTTATGTGGTGATGCTACTGGTGGACAAGGTCAATGCTCGTTCACCCCTTCCCTCGAGCTACAGTTCTATTCATTTCCAAACAGTCCCAGGGTTTACACATCTGTGCAGCACAGATGTTTTTCTTTTCTTTCTTCACCTCTTCGGTTTCTGACCACATTGGTTTTTGTTGTCTAGTACAGTAGCTTTCCTGTGCTTCCTGCTTACTCATTCTGTATCCACTGTAGTGCACAGTGCACTAGTTAATTGTTACATGCTGTTTGAACTCATTGACACGCTGTTTCTGTCGGGTGGGGTGAGCTTTTCCCCACTTCAGATGCAAGTGTGTTTACCTTAGAGTGTCCTCCAGGATCCCTTGACCTGGAATGGGCTGGTCTCCTAGACCCGTGAGAATGGGAGTGGAGAATGGTAAAACAGCCCAAAAGTAAGATACCGAGAAGACAAACAGTAAATTCTTAGAGTAAAAATAAAAGCCCGTGTCCTTGAACAAGTACTTTCTCAAAATAAAAGATCGACTACAGCTTAGCCTGTGCTGTTGAAGACCCAGGAGGTGCTCTGCCTGAGAACTCCACCCACACATGCTCCAGCTGACACCTGTCATGTAGACCGATTTGTCTTTAAGTCTCTAGCTCACAAAAAAACGACATGGAGACTTATTATTAATTGTGAAAACTTGGCCTTAGCTTAGGCTTGTTCCTAAATAGTTCTTATAACTTAAATTAACCTATATCTTTTAACCATTTTTTTTTTTAAATGTTGGTTGGTTGCCTTGGCTCTGAACTCCACATCCTGCTTCCTCTTTGCCTGGCTAGCGACTCTGCCTTTCTTCCTCTTCTAGTCCTCTCCGTCCCCAGAAGTCCCACCCAACCTCTTCCTGCCTAGCTATTGACCATTCATCTCATTATTAAACCAGTCACGGTGACAGACACATCTTTACACAGTGTAAAGGAAAATTCCACAGCCTTCCCTGCTGACTGTTGCGGTTTGCCCCACTTTCCCAGTCTGTTTCTGCTGGATGCTCAGTTGCCTGGTCAGGTGCTCCACCGTCTTTCTGCTGCTTGTCATCATCTTCTGGTTTGTTTGTTTTTGTTGTTGTGTTTTGTTTTTGTTTTTGTCTTTCATGGTTTCAGCACAGTTAACAATCTCAGTTCTTCAAAACAGAAAACATGAACATTTTTTGTGCAAAGCTTCTATAATACAGATATTGCCCATTATAGCATGGGACCTGGTGCTCCCTTGTTTTTTTTCCCCCTCTTCTCTGACGTGCTTCATCTCAGTTATTTTCATAGGATTTTCTTCCTTTTGAAAATAGTTATGGGGTTGGGTTCTCATCATTTCTCTGTATGCTTTCTCTTGCTGATTTCCTGTTTTTGCTATCTTCCTGATTTCAACTGTTTTCTCTTTGCCAATTAACTTCTACACCTGTGCCAGCTCTGGGCTTTCTCTGAAAGTCGACATAAATTCTTTCTATTTCCTGTTTAGTAGTTCTCTGTGAGTTTTATGTGTGTAATTTTTCCCAGGACTACCTTTCTCCAATGGTTTTCTTCTTTAAAATGTTTCAGAATTACACTAATATTATTGTGTGGATGGGGACTATATCTATGTGCCACAGTACATGCGTGGAGATCACAGGGCAACCTATAGAAGTCAGTTTTCTTATGCCAATATAGGTTCCCAGGGATCACACTCAGTTTTGCAGGCTCAGCCACAGTGTCTTTGCCTGCTGAGTCATCTCACTGACCCTCTTAGCTGTTTTCTTGCCTTCACTACCTTCTTCTTTTAGATAATAAATATTGGCACTATTCTATTATTTGTGGCTTCTTATCATTTTTACTGATCTGTCTAGTTTTTTTCAGACTTTTGTGTTCTCACCTGCCATGTGTGGCCTCCATCTGTCCTATCTCCTTTCTTTGTATCCGAAGAAAAATATGATTGTGAATCATGAGACTATTTTGACATACAAATCAATAATGAATCAAAAGCATCCCAATATAATTGTAAAAACTGCTTTTTGTATTTTATTTTGAATGGATGAACAAAAACAGTAATGCATTCATTTTTAATTTAATTATGATGACATGTAAAAGTTTTGCCATACAATGTCAAAAATAGCTAATGTGTGTAGTCCTGTGTCTTTAGTAAATTATGTGAACAAATCGAAGTATGAAAAATTGCTTCATTTGTATTTTCCTACATAACTGTCAATATCATGTATTGTGTATGCTTTGGTTTTAGCAAATGTCTTCATTGAGTTAGTTAATTGTTTAATGTTATCCCTTGAGAGTCTGCCTAAGTCTGTCACTTTATGAAAGAGATTCAGTCCCTTTGGGATTGCCTATTCACCAACAAAACCAGTTTTTAAAAACTGGTGGTTTGGAAATTAGAATAACAAAATACTTTATTAATTTGATCTTTTTAAGTAGAATGCAATGGCAAGTAAAGCTAGAATTGCACTGTTAAGGTCTTTACAAGCTCCCATTTCTGTAGAAGGATCAGCAGGCTGCGTTCCTGCCGCCCGGCTCCTGGCTGCCTGGCTAACTTATGCCCCTAAATAACAACACACAAACTGTATTCATATAAACACTGCCTGGCCCATTATATCTAGCCTCTTCTTGGCTAACTCTCATATCTTGCTTAACCCATATTTAGTAATCTGTGTAGCACCACAAGATGATGTCTTACCTAGAAAGATTCAGCATGTCTGACCTGGCGGCTTGCTCCATTGCATCTGACCAGTGAGGAGAGGTATGGCGTCTGTCTCACTTCCCTTCTTCCCAGCATTTTGTTCTGTCTACTCCACCCACCTAAGGGCTGGCCTATCAAATGGGCCAAGGCAGTTTCTTTATTAACCAATGAAATCAACAGATTGACATATGACCTTCCCACATCACATTTCCTCTCCTGTACCAGTTCTTTCTTGTTCATGGTACCCAGAATTGCATTTGAATGTGGATATGAGGCATGTTGAGGCATGTCATGTTGCATAGTTAAGGGATCAAATGCCAGAGCTGGAGGATGATACAGTAGCTTTCTGTAGGATTGGGTTTACTTCCTTCTTGTTTTTCGTGGGACTGTTGTTGTGAGGTTGGTGGTGGAAACACATGGTAGAGTTGGGGTGTCCAAGTCATAGGAAAGGTGGAACACGGAATTTTGCAATTGTTTGTTCAGAATAAAAAGGACTTGTGCCTTGGGCTGTTGTAGAAAATTCAGAGACCTGGCCATGTTTTGGTGTATATAACGTGGAAGGTGATACTTGAAAAGACAGTTATGGTCAGGATATGGCTCTCCCAAGGCCAGGTAGGCAGTTTGGTCATTAGCCTGAGGAATAAACTTCAGCTTCTTGTTCTCATCATTGGGTGGGGCGGAATGAGTAGGGGTGTGTGTGTGAGAGGAACTGCTCTTGCAAACTCTGACACATGTTCTGGAGCTATGGACCTTGCAGCACTAGGGAAGGAGCAGAGCAGTCACCTTGCTTATGTCCAAACTTGGTAGTTGTAGATAACCCAGCAGGAATAACTGCCATTGCTATAAGTGCGTAGTCAGTTGACATAGGGAGGTCTCATCTTTCACTATTTATGTTCCAATGACTATCTGTCACATCTTTTATAAAATACACAATATTTGATACTATTAATGGAAACAAAAATATTGCCAATAGCAGAATGACAAAGCATTTTCACTTAATTTAACACATGACTGTTACTTTATAAGAAAGTAAGGAACTGGGGATGTTACTTCAGTCACACGTGTTTGCTTCATTGGTAATAAACCCACTTGCTATGTTGTGCCTAACATTTATAATCATTTTAAATTTCATTCCTATATCTTAATCCTTTGAACATAATGTAAACAGCAAGCAAAATGAGCATACCTAGTTTTCATGTGGTGCATAACATACAGACATCAAATGAGAACAGCTTGCATTGAGAACCAGTGACAGCTCTCTCACTACCAAAGGTTATAGGGCAGTGTGAGAGGGTAGCTACTGTCTGATTCTCAAACAATCCTCACATTTCTCCTGCTCCCCTTCTTTTGAGACCAAGTATTGGGTGGCCAAAGCTGGTTTTAAATGTTGATCTGCTGCCTCTACTCTTGAGTGCTAAAGATCACAGATGTGAGCTCTTGTGTCTAATCAGAATTTTTTAAATATGTAAAAGGCATATTTTAGAATTGGTGAATTATTAAAAGTTTTTATTATTGTTATTTTTTAAAATGAAAATAAGCAACTTGTAACTTTGAAGTAGCAGGGCAGGCTTATGAGGAAAGGAGGGCTGAGGGTATATTGGCATCTCTTGAGTGCCTGCCTGGAGCTATATACATGGTGAGAAACTAACAGTAAAGAAAGAAATGAGCGTATGGCTCCAACCTC